GTAGGTGTCGAGGCAACATGGGACGGGTAGTGTCACATTGCAGAGTGCACACCTGGTTTGAGATCGTGCCTTGCTATGCTGTTGAATTACATGGCTGCAAGTAACCCTAGAAGAAACGGAGAGTATACAAGTAACGGTACAACATGCAACACCTGAAAAAGGCCGCTCCATGTCCTCTTACCAGCCAGAAAATGCCCACGAGTGTCCTTGTGTTTGGCGCTGCTTCTCAAGGACATGAACTCCTCGGAAACGCCCTTCTTGATCTCCTGTGCAGGTCGCTTACGTCCGACAGTGCTGCAAGAATGGAAGCATCACGTTGCAAGACCTCCGGGGAGGTGGGGCTAAGCCTCTACTACGCAGCTTAACAACAAAAAACATCACCATGCTGCGTTCTTGTGGCAGAAGAACGGAAACTCGGAATCGTGTCTGACAGGGACCCACAACAACCGTGCCTCTACAGCCGTTTTGGCAAAGTCAGATGTGTCGCTGGAGTAAAGCGCATCCTTGGCTTCGTCGCTGTGCTGCTTCGGCTGGAGAGTGGCGGAATTGAGCGGGATCCGAAAGTGAAATACTCGGCAGCTCGCCGAGCAGCTAAACTACTTACATCTGTCGGCTAACGAACAGCACGACTTCCGCTAAGATCAATGCGTTCAGGTTGGGAACAGTGTGAAAGCCAGGATGGGACAGGGAAGGCGGATCATGGGGCTAGTCGAAGTAGCAGACGCGACTCAGGGTGCCTGTCAGGCGGCAGGAAAGCTGCTCCGCTGCTACATCCCAGAATGCACAACATGTGCTCTCATTGCTTTCATAAAAAGCCGTGCCTTGATACAAGCATCAAGCGAAGTCTGAAGGCATCCGCTCCTTCCCAAATGTGCCCACAGCACTGCTAGCCCTGCCCTAGTACAGAACAGCCTTGTAAAGCTCCCAGCGAACTTGGTACAGTATCACATCTGGGCCCCAAGCTGTAAGAGCCAGTAGTCGTGCTAGTGCAGCGTCGGCCTAGTTCTGGAGAGCTCGCGCGGCACAAGGCTTTTACGTTGGCGCTTGCTGCTGCTGCTGCTGCTGCTGCTGCTGCTGACGCTGTACACCAGCTGATTCTAGGCGTGGCGCAGACTCTGACAGCACTGCTGATCACTGCAGTACGCATATCTTCAACTCAACATATTATCCGTAGCTCGCCTCTGTCGGATCGCCGCCATCTAGGCCTCAACAAACATCTGAGGTGGGCTTCCTGTCCCGCGAATCTGTACAGCACAGTTGGTTTCCCTCTCTCTCTCTCGCAGGTTCTCTCTCTTCATCGCAAGTTCGAAGCGAGACGGAACTCCCCAATTGCGAACCTCATGGAGCCTAAGGGGTTAAGAGTCTCTTAAGCCTGTAAGTTGGCCTCCACCGTTAAAAAAAAAAACATTGCGCATAGCCTGCCGCTTTGCCCCGTCGTCTGGCACATTGCCCAACGAATTGCATGCCTTCCTTCCCTGCGACGGACCCGCCTCCCTGCATAAGTAAACCTGTTCATGTTTGTGCTTACAAGTTTATGTATGTACATGTACGTACACGTGTATGCTGATATAACTTATATAGGTTTACACACACACACACAAACAAACACACACCCGCGCACCCACATACACATAGATGTCCCGTACGCCTTATGCATCATGATCACAAACCGCCAACTGCCGGGAGGAGGCCTAGGTACAGCCTCCTCGATCGCTCACAAACCTGGCAGTAGCGTCTGTTTGCGGTCTGCGGGCTGCAGATTTAACTAAGAAAGTAAGAATTTAGTAATGCCTGATCTCATCTCCTCGCTTGATCTCTCAAAATTCTGCAAGATCGCCGCAGCCCAACCCAATTCATGTGTGTGGTCTGTGGCACCCCAGGAAGTGTGACGGCGCCACCATCTCTGCCAACTGCTTCGCAGTTGTCTTGGCATGGCTACACTGCGACACCTGTGCAAAACAGTCTGATGAGGTGTGGCATGGCGTGGCAATGGCGCAAGGGAACTCTGTGTCTGACCGACAGAATGGGGGTTTCGTAAAGTCGTAAAGCTATGATGTATCAGATCCTAGCACAGTCTTGCAAACGGCGCACCAGCCGCTTGGCCGCATCTGCACCAACAAGGACGTCGCCCTTGGCAATGCGCTCGACGAAGCCTGCCGCCAGCTTGTTGGTCCACTTCTCGTCAGGGCCACTGGCCAAAAGTACTGACACTGTCAATTCAGAATCCAACGAAGCTGCCGTGAGACATGCAAGGAATCCGCCAGTGGCTCTTCGAATGTTGTAGTTGCCGGCGGGGTGTTGCTGCCGCTGGTGTTGCTGCTGCTATCTTTCTTCGGGTAGAGGTAGCCGTGATGGCGAGTCTGGGCAGTGGGTCCAGGGTTCAGACATGTCCAGACAAGTGCAGACATGGAAGAAGCCGGCCTTTGGCGCCGGACGCAGAAGAGCTTGCACCTGAGCCTCCATGCCAAAAGCAGCCCTGTGGTCATCCGTGCTACGCAAAAAGGCTTCTTGACTAGAGATCCACATGGTCCGGGGTTCTTGATTCTAGAAGTACTAGGCCAAAACTCTGCATGATTTGGACTTGCTTCGCAGATGTTCTTTTCTGGCGAGCCTGCGCCGGCACCCGGCGCAGGACCGCTGTAACCACCTGGACCCCAGCCTTGGATGATGGCAAAAAGTCATCACCCAACTTCCACCACACATGTAAACTACGACACTACGAACTACGACCTTTTAACGTCATCATAGCACACCCAGTCTGCGGATGGCCTGAGAAACAGGACCTTCGCGCTTTATCCCATCCTTGATCCCTAGGCAGACCCTCAGCTCTTGGATACTGTGCAGGTTTCAACCCCTGATCATGGTCGGGCATCCCTGCAAACCACCTCCCTGCACTCAAACTGAGGCTGGCGTCTAAGCCAGCCCATTGCAAAGAGGCCTTCCCGGACAAGCCTCATCTCAACAATCAACACCTTGGCCCTCCCGCAGAACCAGCACACTGCAATGCGGAAGCCAACCCCAGAGCTCCTGCCTCAAGCCTGGGCCAAGGCCAAGGCCTACGGCGATCCCCAGCTGATCCTGCAGCCCAGAAAGCCGCAGAAAGCCCCTACTGGTACCAGGGCCCTGGCGGCCGGAAGCCCCGGCTGCAGCAGCTCCTTGCTGGAAGCCGGCCGCAGGAAAACCAGGCCCTGCTCCTGGCACTCAGGGAACAAGACCTTCCAAGGTATTGCAGGTCATAAACTTGGGGGGTTGCAGGTGTTGCTCAGATTTAAGTTTGGGCTTGCCCATGAGCTCAGCGAAGAGATTGGACTGGTAGTTTCGCATGGCTAAGAAGATCTGCTACCGCAATTACGGACAGCGATCACACACAGTCAGCATTCGAATCCTACCCTTACTGTGGCTTACTACTTACTAACGTCACCACAGCCACCACCAAAAGCACCAGCATGCACTAGCTCTCTAGCTCTTTGTATGCATGTTTGAAGGTTTCGTCGCTTTCCGGGCTGAATGAACAACAAGGACTTACTTTAAATTCTTTAAATTCAAGTTCAAGAGATGCTGACCGTAACTATGACGATTATGAACCCTTCTCAACAGCCGCTGTTGCATGTGCCTCTGATGTCTTTTCACCTGCGCTTTCAACTTTCTACGTCGAACAGTCCCACCCATCCATTCACATAAGCTGTACGGGGATGTCGCTCTTCAGATGCAGCATTGCTACGACCACGCACTTTGTTTTCACTTGCACCGACGCGTCGACTTTGCAGAGTTGCAGGGTCGCTGCAGGTTCAACACTGCTTCAGCCTAAGAACGTTTTCTGCTGTAGCAGCTGACTCAACGCCCACGTGCTCTTTTGAGTTCCCTCTTCTGTCAAGTCTGTCGAGGCAAGGACAAGGATTTCGAGGCTGTGGTTTCCGAAAGAAAACATGCAACGTCCGCATGGGCGACTGAGACGGGCGTGCTGCCGAAGAAGTCGCTCTGGCCCTTTTCTGCACCAGCCTCCAGCAATACGCGCACAACGGCTACATGTCCATGCTGAGCGGCCTCACACAGGGGTGTCCTGCTGTAAATGTCACCAGAATCTGTGTCTGCGCTGGCCTGCAGCAGCAAGCGAACCACTTCCGTGTGCCCGCTTTGGGCTGCTTCCCAAAGCGGCGTTCTTCCATACATGTCGGCTTGATCTATGCCTTCGCCAGCAACATGCAGCAGCAATCGCACAACGTCCACATGTGCACGCAAAGATGCCACCCAAAGCGGCGTTCTTCTATAGTGGTCGCATTTGTCTTTCTTGGCGCCACAGTCTAATAGTAGCTGTACGATTTCCAGGTGGCCGTCTTGGGATGCCAGCCACAGAGGTGTCCTGCCATGCCGATCGCTCTTGTCCTTGTCTGCACCAGCCTCCAGAAGCAAGCGCGCGATGCTGCTCTGGCCGTGCTCCGCGGAAGCATGCAGCGGCGTGAAGCCACAAAAGGGACTGTCCGGGTCCCAAGGTCGCTGCAGCATGTCTTCCACATCGTCAACCAAACCCCCAGCAGCTGCAATGGTGAGCTCCGGTTGCTGCTCTACGGAGATGTCTGCGAAAGGCAATAAGACCAACTGTACATGGATCGGCGAGTCCAGAATGACGTCGTCTGCCAAAGCAGCGCCGTCCACCAGAAGCCTCTGCCTGAATCGTGGAACGCCGCACAGGCACTGCAACTGCTGCTTCAAACTCCGTACGCTTCCAAGCTCCTCCACCGGGATGATGGCCAGTTCTTCGCCCGACACCTTCCAGACATGGAGCATCCAGAACCTGATTTCGAATGCACCAGCCGCAGTCTCCAGAACCACAATTCGATTTGAAAGGCCGGGCTGGGAGCTTCTGGGGAAGAGAGGGTCTGGGCAGGCTGTCTCCAACAGAGTTGACACGATTCCACACGGCAATGGTCTGTTCACGGCTCGCTACCTGATGGCTTGGGCCAGAAGGCTTGCCGTGCCAAGTTTTGCAGACATCAATTTCATCAACCCGTGCATGGCAATGCAGTGCTTTTCGGGCCTGGCACAAATGGCGGTCGATGGGAAGGGCCCGCCGGTGCCGGCGAGTAAGGGGCAATGACTGGCCCACCTGCACCGCGGCAGGATCTAGGAATGCAGATGCACGCGGACAACTGGTCTATCCCCATTCTCGCGGTGGAAAGCACGGGGGGGTTCTGGCAAGACTAGAGGTGCAGAATCTCAGCAATGCAACCGCCAGCATCTACCCGTATTCCTTCAGCCATGCATATCTAATGCTTAACGTATGTGGGAATCATGTCAATTTCTCCTTCAACAACTCGAGGATTCCAACGATATGGTGGGTGCCGGGAAGTATGATCCAAATCATATGGGCTTCCTGGACAGGATTCTCAAGACGAATCCTCGATGCAAGACTTCGTGGAATCACCTGAGGCTTCACGAGACATGCCCTGCCATGGTACACATATCCTTCACCAGCTCAGAAGGGAAGCCTGGCACTTGCATTGGCTGATTGAAGCTCGTTGGAGGCGGCGCCTAGGTCTGACGCGCCGCTAGGGCATGTTCTGAAATGGGAGATGCATGTCTTCAGAGCTAGAACGCCACCTATCGAGAGTCCCGCTGCCTGTGCAGATGCGCTCTACAGTCCTAGTCCGATCAGGCATACCCTTAGTCTTAGTCCTGGCCCATGGCAAGCTTGCGGCGATCTCAAAGTAATCCCGCATTTCTATTTGCAGTGTCGAAACAAATACGCCCCAAAACACACACCATCCGAAGGCCAGTCACCTCAACACCCAAAGCCGGATTCCCTAAGCCGAAATGATAGCTTTCTCCTTTGGTGTCATGGCTTTTTTTACGTTATAAATCCCCTCGATTGCTCTTCCTCGATGCCATGAGCCGTGGGGCCGCTCTCGAGCCGGCAGGCGGCTGGTACGGCCTTGGTCTGGTTGAATGTGTCAACCAAGAAATACATGCCCCAAGAAGCGCTTGCGTTGGCTCGAGTTTCAAACCTGGAGTCGAGTTGGAACTGCACAAGGTCCCAGGCTGGATGTTCTTCGGAACACGCGGGTCGTTGACGGCCCGGCCTGCGAAGGTCGGAAATCAACGGGGGCTTTTCTATGCCTTGCAAAATCTCCAGATTTGGATGCAAACATGTGCAGTGTCTGCTAGAGATCACGTAGCAGATTCATCAGCATGTCACGGTTTCATGTGACGGGGCTTGCGGCCTCCCTGCTGTGCTGCAAGCTGCGCCATGGCCTGTGGGTCTGCTTCCTGCGACTTCGAAATCGCGTTGCTACACGCCGCAAACAGGCAGGGCCTTTCGAGAGGCCAAACACCTGAAGGTTTCAGAACATGTAAACAACTTGTGACGGACGGTCACGATGCTACAAGGTACAAGATGGATATGAACCCGAGTTCTTAACTTTGCATGCGTTGCTGCACATATGGACCTTACTTCGAAAATCTCGCACAATTCTCAAAGGAATGCCGCTGGCACACATGGACCGTAAAACCATTTCCGCTCAAAGCTATAGGCTACACATACACGGGACAAGTAGGTGCCAGAAATTTATCGGGTGTGTACGTGTGTGTGTGTATAAGTATGTATGTATGTATGTATGTATGTATGTCTGTATGTGTGTGTGCGCGAATAAGGCTTTTGAGCTTGCGGGTCAGGTTGCAAGGGTTTCAGAGTGGAGGTTTGCAAGTCTTCGGGGGTTTGAACAGCTCTTGCGATGGACGGGTTCGGAATGTATGGTGAATGTATCGTGCCCATGGAATGCTGAAATCCTCTGCGGCTCCCTGTCCTCGGGCATTACCCAGACTGCGTTGATGCCTCCAGTCGGAGAGGCCTCTTCAGACTCGGCGAGATGGAGCGGGGGGCCAAGTGACCCGCCGGATGAGAGTCCCTACGTAAGCTGAGGGAGAGCTGAGAGCTGAGGCAGAACGGCGAAGAGCCAAGCGCCTGGGAGATGCCGTAGGCAGCGCCATTGGGGCCATAGGCCAAGGCTTTCGTGGCATCCTGAGACGTCGAAGCAGAAGCAGGACAAGATCTGACAAAGCTTCGCCAAGCATCTGATCTGACAGCCCGGAAATATCCAAGTATAAGTTCGGTTTGTGGACCGGAACGGGCACGAAGGATTGGGGTGACAGTTGACTCCGGGCAAAAAGAGCTCGCGCTCGAGTCGTCAAGTTTAGAGGTCTTGCGCAAGTTTGTGCAACTCAGCACTGGCGCTGCATGGGCTTCCATCCTTCTGGGCTCTTGCAGCTGTATAAGGCCTAATGCACCTGGCTCTTCAATCAATAAGGCCAGAAATCAGCTAGAGGTCCAGCGGCCCCTAATTGTCAGAGAAGCAGTGGTGGAGTAGTTACGGAAGCGCTTTGTCAATTCCGAGAGATTCGGTCGGGCGACCTCGGCTTTCTCACTCTCCTCCTCTGCTGGGGGCTCGCCCCGAATCCAGCCGATGATGCCTCGCGGACAACTTCAAGGCTTCATTCGGTAGAGTCCCTTTGACCCGGAGACCCTGGCCTGAGACACCGTCGATGAGAATGTCGCCTGTGCACAGAGGCGCGATCTTCCATCAGCTTCCTTACGAATGCTCCCTACAACAGGATCACTTGGGCCCAACAACTTGCAGAGCCAATCATGCTCAAGCGAGCTCCAGGACCCAGGGTTTCAGAGTCAACGCCGCCCGCGCTGCATCAAATCGCTCCTACCGTGTCCGCAGCACTACAATTCGTAGTTCTTGTGCGTGTCTGGGCCCTGTGTGGATTTCGCCTGCGTCGGCCACAGCATCTTTGACCGCACCCACGGCACCCTTTTCCTTGAAATCCTGCACAGGATGGGCCATATGTTCGAGTGTTGCTCAGCACTGGTACTCTGAACATCCTCATGCTGTGGATGCCACGGATACAGCTTGCAGGACTGAGCAATTTCGCTTCTGCAACGGGCACACAGTCGGCCTCCACAGTTAGCATCACCTCTTCGCCAACCTCAGACGATCCCATGTTCTGCCACTTTCAGGACCTGTGCTAGGCGTCCCGTCAGTCTGCAATCCCAATGCCGCCTGAGAAAGCATAAAGCGTGCGAGGCCTGATTCGGAAAAAGCTAGGTTTTGCGGCGGCGGCAGGGCTCCGCTCTAGCAGCGTCTCACATGTTCAACTCACCGCATCCCTTCTCCAGCACTCCTGAACTGTGGGACCTCGCAATCCTAAGCTAAAACTTACTGGCATAATTGGCATGGTTTTCACGTTCATGCTCCACAGCACGGGATCCGTGAACTTGTTCCCTAGTCCTATTACATCTATTGCTTTGGACATGACATCTGCAACCGCGGGCAAACAGTCCAGTAGCTCGCGCACCGACTCCAGTGACACTGATCAGCATTTTCGACCACAACAAACAACCACGGTTCTCGTCCAGGGCGCCATGTCACCCAAGCGCCCGATGGCTTTTTTGGCCACCGTGGCTCCAGTCTCCTCCTGGCATCCCGAGTTTGGGTGGAAAACGACTTTAGCTTCAGGCACGCATTCAGGAGATGACCGAACGACTTGCAAACGTCCCAGATTCTCAGCAGCCAGCGCTGCAGTGGCCCATGTGGCTTTTTATATATGTATATATATATATATACATACATACATACATACATACATACATACATACATACATACATACATATATACATATCCGGAAAGCCAAAACTCTAACCACGATGCATGGCTCCGCCATCCTCAAAACTCTCGCGAGAGGTTAGGCGATCGAGTGGGATAACCTCTCTTTAGAAGGTTGTCGGGTTGGTGCGTCCCGGTAGAAGGAGATAGGCTCTTCAGAATGAGGTACAGTAGTAGTCAGAAGTACCGTAGTAGAACAACTGTAGCACAGTAGTACGGTAAGAATACAGTAGTAGTAGCTAGAGCTGCCTAGCGGAGGTTAGGGGCCCCAAAGAATCGAAAAAAAAACACGATCACTTCAAGGAAACTACCAAGACTAGCAACATCTAGCAGCCCTTCATTCTGGCATTTTCCTTCATCCTAGACGCCCCCCCACAATCGAAGAAGCTTGAGGCCTGCAGTAGCATAGGAGGGCTTAGGGGTTCTACCTACAGCTGTTTTAGGTGGGTTTAGAGGGCCGCCCGACCTCGAAACCCAACTCCGAGATGACTACCTAGACCAGGTAAACCCTTCATTTTGAAGACTCCTTCCTTCATCCGACACTTGCCCCCCCCACAATCGACCAGCCTGACGTCTGCTAAACATGCCGGCCTCTTAGTCTTGTGTACTCAGTTTAAGGTTCACGCCAGCAGAAAAGATAATTGCAAAACGCAACCGGGGGAATTCTGTCGGAGTACAGATGACGGCCAAAAATGCATAACATAGAACGCATTTACAGATGGTCACGGTGCCTCCTTACTCAAGGACCATGTCTATGACCCTGCGAACCCGCAGGCAACAGGCTGCAACGACGGCCGTGCACCTCCAGAGGCGGCGGGTTGACATTGCCGAACCCTTGAATTCGCTGGGCCAGCATTGCCTCGGTCTTTGGGCTGACAGCGCCACGCTTGCACGAGCACAGCATGAGCTGCAAATCCTTCAAAGTTTCAATGCATTCTACTCACGGCAAATGCACGGTGCTCCTGTGGACAAGTGTTGGTGGCACTCTGAGCTTGAGAGGGGTGTGCGATGACTTGATGATTGTTGAAATATGAATGAATACGCCAATGAACAACGAAATAAGCTAAATGAAGAAATATGTATACAAATACATATATATATATATATAAACATGTGTATTTGTGTATATATAATAGTATATTCATACATATTCATATTCATATTAATGTTCCACAAACAGTGTGGTAACAATATGGGCTTTTTACATCGGGAGTAAAGAGGATGTTGATTAAGGTTCTCGTGCAGAGCGCGCGCGGGGAAAAAAAGGAGGGAATCCCTCACTTCCGGGCTTCGGGTAGCCAGGGCTGGGGGGTTGGGGTTGTGGGTTCCGTCTTAACATATGCTACGAGTTCACCCTCTGAAGCGTCGAGCTCTTTGTGAGCAAGGCAGGTGACTGCCGGAAAGCAAGGGGGGCATTGCGACGGGTTCGTTAACTCGCTATACGCTAGCAAAGTCACAGTTCACTGCAATTTGTCGTCCAGCATGCCGGGCATAGCATAACATATTGCGACCGATCGAGTTGTGGCCAATGCCAAGCTGCATGTCCAAGTACACATGTCTCGATCTGTTTATGTGGAAGCCTCAAAAAGTGGGATGAAGGTAAATATGTTCATTATTCAAGGCAAATTTAAGGATCTCTCATATCAGGACGCTCATGTAACTAGGATTTCCCCACCTAGCTTCATCCCGCACGTCGCCCTTTCGATCTATAATCCGTATAAACCCTATAGTACCCTTATTCGCACGCATCTCTTTGACAACAGTATTTGCGGGAAGGGTCCAAGGAATTTTGCAGGCTAAGGGGCAAGCATAAGTCTCGTGCTTCCGAAACGGGCCAGTGCTTGGCGTGAGTAACACTTTCGCGCTGCTACTCGAGCCGCCAGTTTTTGGTGAGAAGCGATTCCGCCATGCTCTCGACTGTTTCTGAATCCCGCCAGTACTTCCGGGAAAACATCCCCGGTGTGGTTCCGACTACGTCACTTCTTGGGGGACAACTCCTCCTGGTCACTTGGGTATCTCGGTGGTCTCCTGGTAGACTCCTGGTGGTCGTTTGGTATCTCCTGGTGGTCTCCTACTGGGGCGGTTTCTTGGTGTCTCCTGGTGGTCTGTCGCTGCTGTCCTCGTCGTCGTGGTCGTTCTGGTCGCAGTGCTCGTCGTGGGTGGTCTTTTTGATGATCTTCTGGTGTTGTCCGGATGATGTCCTGGTGGTTTCCTGGTGTGGTGGTGGTCTCTTGGTGGTCTCCGGGTCGTCTTGAATATCGAGTACAAATGCGGCATTCGCAAGGGCTCCTGGAGCGCTGGGGTCTCCAAACAAATGTTTTCGAGCACAGATGTAAGATGATGTAAGTTCCTGGAGCTGTGGGCGCTCCAAACTGGTGTTTCCGAGTGCAATTGTAGTAGTATGTGGACTGCTTCTCGAAGGCTCCTTTCCAGCTCGGGGTCTCGAACTGCTGTTGTCGAGTACTGCATTCTCCTTGGAGCTCCGGAACCTCCAAGGGTCCAACTGGTGTGTTCGAGTACGAACGTAGTAATTGCGCGGAATGCCTGCAGGCTCCTGAGCTCTGGGGCCTCCAAAATGATGTTTTCGAATGCAGATGGAGTACGAAGCTGCGCAAAGGCTGGAAAACACAGATGGCAACTACTTGCGACCTGTATTCGCAGTTTCCCAAGCATAGCAAACCACCGGTCTGGGGGGCGATGAGTGTGCTCCTTCTTGTAGTATGGGAAAAGCGCAATTCCCTGGCATAATATACCATACATATATGCAAATATACATAGTTGCATCGTACACAGTAGCTGGCTGTCAGCCCCACAAGGCTCGAGGTCGTGCACTCTGACTGAGGACTGCCAGCAACAACATGTTCTATTTTAGAGAACCCGTAGGAGTCATGTCAACAATATCAGGACGTAATCCTTCAAATTGAAGCCCTGGACACCTTGTTGTTCCTTTAGAGGGACCCGGCTGCCACCAAGTTGGACTCTGAGGCTCTGAGGACTTAGCCTTGATTGTTGATCTCCAAGAGTATACCACGACCCCACACCCGCCAAATGCACAGCCGTTGGTTTGCATACAGTCTGTGAAACTCGACCCTACTCTTCCAAGCCAATCGTATCTTCAAAGTGGATGACATGCTGTGGAAACTCAGATTGCAGCCCTGTCTGGTTGCCCCGCCGCCATTGCTGTCTCCTGTCAATCCATTGAAGCAACCGTCTGGCTGCTCGAACTGGCTTGGGTGGTATTGGGGTAATCGCTTGGTCGCCGTATCCCCTTGCACGCTTGGCTGGGTGCCTGGAGACGTCAGTCTCGGCAGTGACGAGACATTGAAGCGCGAACCGTCTTGAGAGAACAGCTGCGAGAAGGCAATGGAGCCCTGAACACTTACCCTGGGGTCAGACAACTCAGAAACTCCGTGCGTCTAGAGTCTAGAGGTCAGCACGTGGCAGCCTTGGAATAAGGGGTCGCTACATTGCTCGCACGACCCGGCCTAGAACACTCCCACAGGTTTTCTCTTCTGCATGTGTCGGCTTCTCGGAGCTGTTGAAGCTCTGTCGAAGAGAACATGCTTCGCCATGGCAGACTGGTTTCTGCCCACGGGGAGCAGTCTTTGGCTCCCGTTCACGCACTTCTCCAGCATCTTTTCGCTGTTTGCGTGTACTTGCAAAAAAGATTTGTTCAAAGAGTGAATGGCATCGAATTACTGTGCGCCTAGGGACATCGCTGTACCACGGGCGCACGCTCCCTCTTCTCCTTGCACCAAGCCCCTATCGACTCGCAGCCGCAGCCACGCTTACACATCGGCTCCAGCTGCGGCCCACGGCTTCCAAATGGCCACGGCGACAAGGCCTGTGGCGAGAGCTCCACCACAGCGTCGACGCGAACGACGCAGGAGGTTGCAGGTCCACGAACCGGCTGAAGGACTCGAAGGAACATCATCTCCGCATGTTGCTTGGGCCTCGGCGCGCAAGATTTTGACTCCTTGCTAGTCAGCCCTCCTCAATGTCCTTTGCGACAGTGCTAAACCGATAGGTATCCCAATTCACCCCGTTCCTTCACCTTCAATTGCATCGACCTCTAATCCTTGAATCTCAAATCCTTCTGAGCCGCCCGAACTTGGCATGCCCGGCTGCTGCGCCACGTGGCTGGCCGGCAGCAGCTTCTGGTACGAATATTGCAAACAGCAGCTGTAAACAGTTAACAGTAGTGTCTCTTCCGAATTCAGAATCTTGGTCCTGACACCGTTATTTAGGTGTTCTCCGAACGATCCAGAACTCAACAGGGCACACGCAGAGCAGAGCTTGCTGTGTTTCAATGTCGAGGGTTTTGTACCAGGCATAGGAGTTGTTCTACACGACACACACACACACATCGGCAAAGGACAAAAATAATTACAAGTATTTAGCCAATGAGTCAATGATTGCATGCATGCATGAATGATATGATATGGAATGGCATGACACGACACGACATGACATGATTTGTATGATGTGCGCATACCAGTATGTCAGCAGTTTCGAGCGTGTACAAAATGGTACATTTGTGTGTAGCACTAGACGCCGAAAGGTTGTACCCTTCGGAACACCCTCCTGAATTCCTCAGCTTCTTGCATTTATTTCCTTGCATCTCAGAGCACAAACCCCCAAACAAGAAGACTTCCAGGCTGTAGGACTCTAGGGCCTAGGACCCGCCTCGACCACGGGGACAAAACGCCGGGCGCGGTGTGACCGTACAAAAGCAGCTTTCAGGCAGCGCCCAGCTGCCTCGGACTCAAAGCATGGTAGCACTTGTTCGCACATCCGAATCCGTACGTGAACGGTGAAGTCGAAGCTAGGTGGAGGAGTGCACCTACGTCGAGCCTCCAGCTGCAGCCCCCAGTCCGGATAGCCATGGCTTCGAGACACCTCCCAAAAGCTCGCAACAAGTCACTTTGTGACATAGCCTTTGAGCATCTCTTTGCTCCTGAAATCTGCCAAAGACTCGACACGACAGCGTAGATTTGCGACCTTCCGCAACTCAATCCTGTCAGGGAAATCACCGGCTCTTCCATAACCAGCCCGCCTCACGGGACGAGAAGATGCTGCAACGCGACCAGCAGCGACACAGCAGCAGCCTGCAGGAGACGAAGTTAGCAGGGCAGAGTCGCAAAGTCTGAGGCCGTGCTGAGCGGCCTCGAAAATTAGCTCTTAATCGCTTCCCCCTATTATTAAAGCCTCCCCTAATATTAAATCTGCCGCCCCCCGGAAATTTATGGTTTTGGGCCTACAATTGAAAGTTGATTTAAAACATTAGGGGGGGCCCTAGATTTGTATGAGTTTTAATAGAAGGAAGACTACAG